CCCCACCCCTCCATCTCATCCTTCCCCCCCCATCTCATCCCCCCCCCTCCATCTCACCTCGTCATCTCTACCATCCCTCAACTTTCTCTCTATCCATCTCTGTCTCTCTCTCTCTTTCACACTCTCTTGCTATCTCTATCTTCTGTTTCTGCCTCATGTCTACATTTCTGCCGATCACTATATCTCTGTATTTTTTTCTCTCCCGTTGTCTCTCTCCCTCCCCCCCCTTGTCTCTGTTTCTCCCCCCTTGTCTCTCTCTCTGTGTCTCGCTGTCCCTCCCTCCCTCAGTCCCTCTCCCGTGTCTCTCTGGCCCCCTCTCTGTGTCTCTCTCTCACCCTCTCTGCCCCATCTGGCCCCTCCCCTGACCCTCATTTTCTCCCTTTCCCTCTCTATACCATCTCTCCCTCTCCACTCTCCTCTTCTCCCTTCCCTCTCTACTCTCCTCTTCCCACCCCCCCGCCCCATCTCTCTCTTTCTCTCATACTGTCTCTCTCTCTCTCACATTGTCACTCTCCCTCACTCTGTCTCTCTCTCTCTCACTATCTCTGTGTCCACCCTCTCTCTCTCTCATACTCACTGTATCTCTCACTCTCCCTACTGACTGTTTGTGTGTCTCTCTCTCACTCACACACACACACACACACACACACACACACAGTCAATATATTTCAGTTTTGGAGAGTGCACTCACCAAGTGATTCTCTGTCTGCCCCTGCAGCAGCCGTGGTGTGTGAAGGTCCTGTCTGACCTGCTGGCCGTTCTTGCGGCATATTTCTCCAGCAATTTTGATGCAGAGCCATCGGGAACCAGCTGTGGGTAAGAGCACGTTCGGGTCACCCCAATCTCGGAGATCGCTTCCGCGTTAGTGCGATTCCCTGGCCGTTCCATTGTCTTCACAACTGTCGTTTTCATACGCAATGTGGGGGTAGCTGACAGTTCCTACATGTGTCGCCCCATTTCCCCAGTGGCCCCCTGGAGAAGGTGGGAGTGAGCCACCTTCTTCAACCGCTGCAACCCCTCTGGTGGAGGGAGATCCAGGCTAATGACCCTGAAGCTACGGCTGATAGCGTTTCATGTTTATTCCCTGCACTGACCCCCATGCACTAGATTGCTTTTCCTTCCAGACTCCAGGTTTTCGAACAGTCGGCCAAGCAGTTTCTCAGGCTCCTCGAAACCCTCCTGTCCTCGGCCACAGAGCGCGAGATGACACTCAGAGAGCAAAGCATCACGGTAAGGCAGCAGAGCACCCAGGGTCACGGTGCATTAGATACACTGTCCTCTGGGCCCGGGGGGTCACGGTGCGTTAGATACACTGTCTTCTGGGACCGGGGGGTCACGGTGCGTTAGATACACTGTCTTCTGGGACCGGGGGTACACGGTGCGTTAGGTACACTGTCCTCTGGGACCGGGGGGACACGGT